CTTTTCAAAATTATTTCTCATTTAAATTTTATCCATGCAACCCATGTAACCCACGAATAAACAAAAATAAATAAATGAACAATTAGATATTCGTACCAAATATACCTGAAACCCCTATTTTATTATTGGCACACTGATAGCTATCAGTGTGCCAAATTTAAGCCCGATTCGTCCAGTGGTTTGGGCCAGGCGATAATGAATGGATATGTTATTTTATATATATAGATTAAAAAAAAAAATACATTTTTCTTATAGCTCTTCTAATAACACGTATAATAAAAATACTTATTGACACAGTTTCCCAAGAAACTGTTTGATTTTATTTCTTCAGTGGATAATGTGTATCTTGAGTTAAACCTTGAGTATACAATGGTTTGCATGTACCATGTGTAAAGCGTACAGTGGTAGATTGGCCACTGAAGTTAGGGAGTAATTATTATTAAATGACGTTGAAAAAGAAATTTCGAAAGACGGCGATTTCAAGAAATATTAAATTATAGTGGGAACATTCTTTTGCTGGATTTGTCTTTCCAAGGTTTTAATGCATTACTTATTGGTTTTCAAAATCTAAATTAGCCAATTATTAGGCAATAGCCTGCGTTTTATTTGTTAAATTGATTTGTATTGTTTATGCTGATTCGGTCGATGATCTATTGAAAATATTAAAATCGGGATAATACACATAGGTATGTCCATTTGTATATGGTCTAGTGAAATTTCAAAATGAAATCTCGCACACCCCTCGCGTCATCACTCAAAAAAAAAAAACTTTGATAACGCCACACAGTCGGCTTCGTTTATGCCGGGCATGTGACTTGACTTATACGAGCTAACGTGAACGCGAAACGGCGCGCGGCGGTAAAGTTTCTCATCCAATATCCAATTACGAACCTTACTAAAATATGCAATATAACAATCATTTTTACTCGGCTTTAGCTAAGCTGCGTTACAACACACGTGCGCGATCGATCGTAATGTTGTAATAATAATATTATTAGGTATATTAAAGTATAAATATTTAATATATTCGGATAATTTGACTATATTATATTATTCAGAATACCTTTAGATTGCACACGCCGCCGCCGCGCCGTGCGGAAAAATAAATTTCGGTTAACGCGCGTTTATATGAAATTGCAGCGGCAAACGAATTCGGGAAATATTTTTTAATATTTGCAAACCTCGCGTAAGTAGAAGTACTTGTAAATAAAAAAAAAAAAAAAAAAAAAATACAGAATTATTTGAAACAACTTTCAAGTACATATCATT